ACACGATAATTCTTTTCTTTTATTGTCTTTCGTTGTTATTTCTTTTTTAATATTTACGTTTACTGCACGATGAAAATGAATGTTTGAGTACCTCATAAAATTTTGAATCTCGTGAAACAATGTTCTCGCGTTTCTTTACGCCAATTAAAGGGAAAATCAATTTCCAATAAAATGTACTCTTAATAGTTTTTTCTGTATGTACATAGTATGTTACATACACATACAGATTGATTCGGTATAGATTGGATTAAGATCAAAGAAAGAATATGTAAATAGTTTTTACGATTATTAACCTAAATAAACGTTATAGAATAATTAGTAAAAAAAGATAAATTCATATTTTGTAAGAATGGTCTTGAATAGAAATTAGTATTGGTATTAATATTGGCTATCTAATTTTTGATTTTTAATCGAGACAAGATATATATATATATACACATACATACATACATACATACATACACAGATAAACATTTAAAGATATTTCAAATTGAACGAAGGACGACACGGATGATGAATATGAGAGTGGTACGGAAATTCGCGAGATCAACAAAGCGTCTACTGTCCACAGAGCATCAGCAAAAACGGATCTCTGACGCTACATCGAAGCGAGAACATATGCTACGGAAGAAGTCACTATATAGTATATAATCAACACATTCTTGACACTCCCGAAGGGAGAGTTTCTTTTGAAAAAAAGACATGTTACATTGTAGCGATGGAATTAAAATTCTTATACATATCTTCGTCTTTTATTATTATTATTATTAATTATACAGAGGCATAAAATATGCAAAGTAATAATTCAATACAAGTTAATAAAATTCAAAAATTTTGGTTTCTTACGTAAACTGATTATTAAGGTTATCTCGGTAGAAATCGTATATTATTTGAATCATTTTGCATTTTAAACGATTGAATTTTAAATTATATTAAATAACAACTAATGAAGTTAATTAATAAAATCAATAAAATTAATAACTCATCAATTATTATATAAAGTGATATTATTGCTGGTTTCGTGGTTAAAGTTTCCAGTTATAGTTTGACAAGTGATCCATATACGAAACAAACGAAATACCTAACGACGAAATCATAAGTAACGACTTATGTATTAATTTCACATGATTAGGACTTTATTCGTTTAGTAAGCAAATTATTTTCTATTATTTTAAGAACTAGCGAAACTTAACAACTAGCAATTGTTATAAGTGTTGCTTAAATTTGCTGTAACAATATACATGTGTACTAAAAGATACAGTAGCATAGCAATAAATAACTAAAATAAAATAACTAAAATAAAATGTATAAAATTTCCAAATTATTACACGTTACAATTGAAGTTACAATTGAAGTTAAATTATTTATCAATAATAAAATAATTCAGATATAAAGATATACAAGATATAATAATAAGATATATAAAAATATATAATATACATATTAAGATATATAATGATATATAAGGAATATATATATAATAAAGAAGGAAATATATATATAGAAATATATATATATAAAGAAGGAATATATATATATATATATAATAAAGAAGGAAAAATCCAAAGATAGGGTGAAGTTTTGAGTAAGTTTCGGATCTATGCCACCACTAACGATAAGATCAGTCTAACATTTATGCGCGCGCACACGAAACGGAGACGCACACGAAGAAAAAAAAGGAAACGAGTCGTAAGATAGAGAAGGATAATTCGAGAAATAAGATGCGCACAGAAAGGTGCAGAGAAGAAAACCGTGCTACCGGCAAACTGGACGCTTTAATGCATGTTGAGCGTTTGTTCGGTGCGCATCTCCCACAACGGAGAAGAACGATTCTTCGAGTCCAAGGATTTCAACTTCTATATTTTTTTTTTATCATTAAAATTACACACGGGTGACGACGATTTTCTTAAGAAAAATTGTGAAAAGTTGGAAAAATTGTGATACTTGTATGTGCAACTCGATTCGTTTTATTTCGGAATTTTAAGAAAGAAGATGATCCATCTGTGTGCGATTTTCTTTTTACTTCTGGTTACCCGATTGGAGTTATTCTCTTTGGGCAAACAAGGTATTTTTCATTATTTTAAAAATTCTGTTTAATATTCTGTACAATACGAGTAATAGTATGCTATATGTATATATTCTATTTAATATACTATACTTAATATAACAGTATAAGTAATGTATTTTCTTTGATCTATTAGTCCTCGTTTCCCTATAATATCAAACATAAAGTTAATCAAGATTTATCAATTACAGATTCAAATCATATTTTTAATTATCTATATAGCTTGAAGGAAAAAGTAATGAATTTAGAAGATAGAATCTCATTTAGAATAGAGTGTAAACAATGGGAAAATAGGTGTAAAGTGTAAACAATGAGAAGATAGGTCAATTAATTAAGTAAAATTATTTATTTTCGAAGGAGACGAGAAAGCTATGTCTCCTTTCGAGAAAATACAGAGAAACAACAATAAAATTTAGTAAATTTTTCCAATTTTGACTGAATGACTGTAATAAAGTAAGTGATATCGGAAATGATTTATGACGTATATTAAAATGTATAGCCTAATGTATAAGCCCTAATTAATATGATATCTTGAGAAATGTTAAGCCGAAATATTTGTATTATTAAATAGGTATAGCAAGCTCAGTCTAAACAGGTCAATTGTCAGTTTATAGGAAAGAAAATTAAGTGAATTTTTCAATTTAAATGTTAGATTTTTTTAGTTCATAAGGAGACGATAAAGTAAATACGCAATAAAGAGATGGCTTTCTTAGAATTCATAATTGAAGTTGATACGCATAAAGTAACGTCCGATAGAGATTTTAGAACGAATAATTGAAAAATGTTCAGGATAGAATGCAAACTAGTATTAAATTGTTAGTTAACAACTTATATTTGAAAAATAATATAAAAATTGATAAATACTTCGGAGAGGTATATAATAGTTTCGGATTAGAGTAAATAAACAGATAACGTAAATATTTACTTATGTAGCAAAGAATGAAGACTTTGTGTTTTTAATAATTAAATATAATTACTTTTCAAACTTTTGCTTTTTTTTATAAAAAACAATATAAAATTCTGATGGTTGTATTGATTGTTTTATCAATTTTGAAGCAAATATTTTTTTCTTTAATTGACATATCATTTATTATAAATTATTATAAATTGTTCTCTTCAAATATAAAAAATACCAGAAATACAGTTTATAAATGAGATGTAATTTTTTTTCACGCATTTACTTTATGATATTGTTATTTTTGAAATGATTTCACTTAATTTCATTTATTTACCCGGCTATTTTAATATTCAATGTATTTCTTTGTTATGTTGCATGTTGATATAAATTATCAGAAAGAATCTAATAAGAAATTTATTACTTAGAGAATTTTAATTCGTTGCGAATGATTTTATGTAAAATAAAATTAAAATAAATATAATATTTAGATATAAATAAGAAGATAAGATTACGTTTTAGGAAAAAAGTAAATTTTTTTCTTGGATTAAATTTATGAATTAATTAATGTAAAATAATAATTAACATCGGTAAAATGTGATAGTTAGAGAGGGTTGTGTAGTTTTCCAATGAAACAACGAGGAAACGCGCGTGCTGATTTCGTTCTTATCATTGAACAAATTATGGTTTTGTTATTATTCAGTATATATAGTCTTCATTGATTTATAGACTTCTAATTAAACATCGTAGCAATTGTTGTTACTATTATATAACATAAATAAAATTATATAACATAAATAAAAATGTATTCAAAAATTGTAAAAATTACAAATATAATATTGAGTAAAATAAAGAATTTATTATCGCAATAATATTTATTATTCCAAATTAAGAAATGAATTAATATAACCTTATATTTATTGTGTTTTTGCTTATATTTTCTAGCATCAAATGTTAAAATTTATGGGCAAAGTTTATAGCTAAAATTTGTAGCTATGTTAAAATTTACAATATCAAAGAAATTTGGTATTTCTTTGATATTATGAATTTATTATAACTTTATAATATCAATTTATTATTTATTATAAATATATTTTTTTGATATTATAAATTTATTTGATATTTCTTTGATTATTATAAATTAATAACATAATTTAATGTTGTAACATAATGTTTAAAAATTTGATGTTTAAACATAGCAAGCTATTGACTGAATACTATTTATTATAATAAACAATATTATCCTTCATTAAACATATAACGGAAATACAATGTCGTATAAAACATTTAACGAACATAAATTACAATTTACGAGTTGATACTTATTCGTTTGTTTCATGTTATATCGAAAAAGTTTAATTCATATGACTCATATATGATTGGATTCGTTTGGAGATACAATAGAGCTAAATAGAGAGTACCCTGTATTACATTTATACGTATTCATATTACATCATATTATTCTATCTAATCGTTTAAAATCTAAAAATCTTTTATTTAAGAACAAAAATGTTATTATGTGAATGAACCATATAAATGATAGTGTTTTAGACGATATGAATAAATTTTGAATAAAATTGCCACATACATAGTGTGCAATGTCACGAGCTTGTATTTTTATTGCATAAAGAATTAAATGTAATATATCACACGAGACAAATTATGAAGCAAAGATGTAATAGATTGTTAAGAAGTATCTATCTACTATTGTTCTTCTTATCGCTGCACATGCTGCTGCGACAAGAAAGATTTCACAAGAGATTTGAATTCTGCCGAGAGTTCGTGAAAATGATAGACAAATAAGATATAACTTTAACGTCATAAGCTTATCATAAAAAATAACTATATTTCATGTCCTTGTTTTACTTTTTCCCGTAACAATTTCAACATTGAAAACAATAAAAGGAAGATGAATCATTGAAAAAAAAAAAAAAACAAAAGATAGTTATTTAACTTTTAATATCAAGAAAAAAAAGAAAGAAAAAATTATTACATAAACTTGTTAAAAGAGTTATTAGGTATATTTGATTTGTGTAACAGGAGTGTTATTCAGCGAAGCTAGAATGGAAGCAGAATTTGAGAAATGCTGCGGGCTTGGTACTTCTTGGGCTTTGGAAGGACTCAAGTGTGAAAAGTTTACAGGACCGGTGTCCGGAGTGCCAACGGTTGAACAAAGTCTTTGCTTAGAGGCCGTGGATATCTGTTGCATAAGGACCTATCACGAAGAACAATGCAAGAAAGGGAAATTAGACGCGCATGCTGGTTTAGCATGTGTTTCTGATAGCAAAAGTAAATATTCAGGTCCGGGTGATTATCATCGCGACTGTTGTGAAGCTTGTAAATTGGGTAATTTTTTTTTATATAGATATATTATAAATAATTTTAAAAATAGATATATTGTTTCTCAGTTTGAGAAACTTCTTGATTGTTTCTCAGTTTTTCAACTGATTGATCCGGTCACTGATTTGTCACTAACATAAGTGGCAAGATTTTAGACAATATGTGATATATGAACTTGGACTTTTTATTATACTTAATAAACTGAATATAGTATACACAATAGAATCTTTTCTGAACTTTTATGTGTACACTTGTCGTATGAAAATAATGGAAACAATGAAATAAACAATGGCAAAAACTATTACATTCATTTATCAATTTGTCAATGTTTTTGTCAAATAAAGTGTTAACATTTCACAGAAACAGTCAAAATTAATTGCACTGCATATTGGTCGACTCTCCCCTATGTATTTTTGAAACAACATATATTTCAATACTTTCGAAATTTCATTGAAGGTATTTCAACTGGATCTATGGGACGAGGATGTGCTTTTAAGAAATTTACCTTTGGAAATCCATGGGATCCTGCATTTTTAGAATGTTGCCACGAGGCATCACCAAGTACATCAAGTGCAACATCAAGTACAACATCAAGTACAACAAACGCAACATCGTTCAGTGAGGCTACTGATACTTCATCCTCATCGATATCAACGTCTTCGTTATTTACTCCAACATTGGCTTCAACCTCTTCTTCGTTGTCAATACCTACACCTCGTAAGCAATAAAATTAAATTCCTATAAAAATAAGTTTGTAAAAATTGTACCTATGAAATACGATTAAACATTAATGTTTTATTTATCGTTAAAAAGATGAAGAACTTTGAGAATATAAAATTCTAATTGTTTTGTCATTTAATTATGATCCAGTTTAAAAATAATGATCAAAATTCTTTAAAGTGTAGAAAGTAAAGTGCATAAAAAGGTAACTGTTAAATAATTATCTACTCTATAAAATAAAGTTATGAAAAAAGTAAAATAATTGTGTGACTTTCCACGAAACGTATTTATATAGTACTTATATGAATGATTTATTGCTTTATGCATGATTGAAATTTCGAAGATAAATCAAATTATTTTGTAAGAATGTAAAAATTCTTATGAGAAGATATGAAGATATAAGTATTTTATAACGTAGAAAACAATTAGAAGAGATCATAAATAATTTAACAACACAATTAGGAAATAAAAAGATAAGAAGAAAAAAGATAGATGTTAATAACAAATTACTAAATTTACACATATAAAAAAGAAAAGATCTAATCATTTCTTACTGAAATTCTTTCAAAAGTTAACCATTACTTTAATCGGTATCGTTAATAATCAAATTTACTTATAGAACTTCGATTAAAAAAAATATCTCACATTACTTTTCGATCAATTTACAATTAGTAAAAATAATTATTATTACAATGAATAATAGTAATTATTTCGATTAATTTATAATTTGTATAATAATCTATAATTAATATAACACATAAACTTAATTTATAGCATTAGATGATATCTGCCAGCTTATGAAGGGATTATTGTGTTCTGACATTTGTGTTCCTACGGTAGGATCTTATTATTGTAAATGTCGTGAAGGTTTTAGTTTATTGGAAGATGGAAAAACTTGCAGACAGGATTTACCTATTGACAGGTATAAAAAAATTTTATAAAATATTTATATACTATATTCTAGTTTTACAAGTTTTACAATACATTTCTTAAAATTCACAATACATTTTAAATTTCTTAAAAAAAATACATTTCTACATTTATTGTTAAAGTTATGTATATGTTAATTTTATAAAATTGATTTACCATTTACCATTCAATATCATTTATACTTGGTATTAAAATAATTACATTAGTATTAAGTTCGAACATTTTATTACGTATATTTTATACAATAATAAATTTATTATTCAATTTATTATTATAAAATTACGATAAAATGGTAAAAATCTTAATAAATTTATTGATAATAATAAATTTAAATTTATGATATATAATAAATTTAATTTAAATTTATAATAATAATAAATTTAAATTAATAGAAAATTTTACATTCAAGTTCTTTATTTCATAAAAATACTTTATGTTGTTGTAAGAAATTATTAAAAATTTGTAAATAAACATATTCTTACTTATATAGACATTTTCAGACATTTTCAGACATTTTCAGACATATTCTTACTTTCTATAAAACATGGTATTTCTTTCATTTGGTCCTTATATATTGTAACTTCAAAATGCTAAAAGTAATTTAAGAAATTTATTTATTTTTTATAGATTTTTAGTATTATATCTTGATATATTGATAATTAATATATACAGTTAATTTATTATTGATTATATTTCTGTATATATAATATTTTTATTATGTTCCTAAACAATATCTCTCAGTATTTTTAGCTTTTTTCCTCAATTTTCTCCATTTTAGTTCAATTGATTTAATATTTTAATATTTTATCAGACATTTACTTTAGAGAAATCTATTGTATTTTAAATGATTAAATTTTTAATGACTCTCAAAGTGTTAGTTAAAACATTGCTATAAAATGCTGCTATAAATATGAACGAGTAGAAAAAAAATTAAAAATAATTAGAAAGAAAAATAATTATTTTAATTAATTGTTATCTTACTTAAAAGAATTGTCTTAATATTAACCTTTTAAAATATTAATTTGTTTATTGAATATTTTAAAAGTTTTCTTATTATTCAATAATTATACTATGTAATGTGCAATTGTAATGTACTATGTAATGTGTGTATGGCATAGATGCAAGTCGAGCAATCCATGCGAACAACGTTGTACGGATAATGGAGTTGCAGTAACGTGCAGTTGCAATCCCGGTTACATATTAGCGAAGGATAAATATTCTTGTTTACCAAAATCATTCGAAAACAAAAGTACAACTTCGCAGGATGATAGCGAATTTTTACCTCTCTGTCCAACTGGTTATCGTTACAATGCTACCAATAAAATCTGCGATGGTGAGTATGACAAAGATATTAAATTTGTCAAATAATAATTTTTATCAAATATGAATAAAGGGAGATATTTTTATAATATGCGATTATTATAAAATGAAGTATTTTTATGAATCAATTTTTATGACATATCGCAATCTTGCGAGGAAAGTGACAACTTGAAAAACTATTTTTCAGGAGAAGCGAAAAACTGGTTTTAAATTAGATATTATTTTGTCAATTAAAGAGACAATGTAATTCAAAATAATATCTTATCACTACACATTTTTCACAAAATTTATATGTATTAAAAGATATTTATCGAATGCAATGTCACACAAATCAGTAAAAGCAACATAATTCCTTTTTTACCGGCAAAATTATGAAAATCAATGAATAAAATTTTGATAATTGGTCAAAGGCTATCTCTGCAACATTTTTATAGCAATAACTCGAAACTTTTGTTTTTTGGCTTTTTGTCACTTTTTTCGTAAAGAAGCGATATGTAAGTATTTACATTATACAAGATGCACGTATTACATCTTCGAAATCAAATTTGAATATTTAATTAATTCATAATAATTCATTCTATTCGAATTGCTTGTTTTTATTTGTCAGTTTCAATATATTTTGACACTATGAAATTCTCACTGTTCTATAAGTTTCAAATTTATTTTCAAGCGTTTATTTTATGTTTGTTTTGACGATATGAGCTTTACCTTCGAGCATTTTCCTTTCTGTAATTTTGCACTGCAATTTCGCTTATGTCCATGGTCATTTTCGTTGGCATTGTGTATTCCACTGCTTAGATGTGAACGAATGTATAGAAAAAGAAGTATGTCCTGGTCATTGCGAAAATAATATAGGATCTTATACATGCACGCCCAAAGATAAACTTAGATCTGTTTCTTACGAAGAGGACACTTGTCCTTCTGGTTATCAATGGGAACCCGCTACAGGTCTTTGTACAGGTATGAATCTATTTAATTTTAAAATTGCTAAATCTTTTTAATGTACATTATCCGTAATTTATTTTATGATTTCTATTTTTACTACATATATTTAGTTTATGTATTTAGATCTTTTGCATCGGAAAAATTCCTGTAAATTTAAACAAGTATTTACATAAATACTGTATTTTTTTATAACTTAATAAATTAATGTACACAAAGATAATGTATTCTTAGAAATTATAAAGTAGTGGAATTCTCTATAAATAGGAATGTGTCTAAATTTAAAATTGATGAGAAATAAGCATATACATTATTGATTTTAATTTTGATATCATAAATTGCTTATTATTCTTAACAACTTGTACTGATATATCATTTTAAAATATATAAGAATACATTAAGTTTATGAATGAATTTTTCTTCACTTGCTATTGAAATATCGATTATTATTATTTTTGTATACATATTTATTTATTTAAGTTACATTAATCATATTTATACAGTTACTACTGATAGTGTAACTATTGATCAGTAGATTACTTATAGATTATTATTGTTTAAAATTTTTAACAATTGGTGATTTAGAATTTATTTAATTTAGCTTGTCTATATTTTAAATAGTTGAAATATTTGAGAATGAAGTATCTTATTGTTGTGAATGATACAATATTTATAATTATTTGCAGTTACAGTTACATAGACAAGTATTTATAGTTACAAATAATAAATATAAATTATTTACATAGTTAATCTATATAGTTTATATATATATATATATATAGTTAATCTATGTATTATATATGCAGTTAATCTATTTAATGTCATTTATTTTTTTTGAGTAATTTTGACTTTAGTTTTTTTTTTGTCAGTTTTAGCGAAAACTAAAATGGAAAATATTTCAAATCAGTTCTTTAGTTTTTTAAGTACTCATAATACTTTTAGAAATTATTTAGAATCGTTTCCTACTTTATTTTTGATAATATCAACATCTAATAAAACAGATAGGTACTTATTTAAATTATTTAATTTATTTTATAATTTTATAATATTTTATTTTATTAAAGCGTATTAACTTTTAATACTACTAGATTAAGATTACTTTATTATTAATAGTAAAGATTTTTTAGTGTTTATTATTAATAGTAAAAATTTCTATACTTTGTAAAAATTATATATTTTTTATTAGATGTATTTATATATTTTTTCTATATCATAATTTTTAAATAATTTTAAATGCTTTTATAGTAATTATTTTTAATCCAATTTTCGCAATTTTTTAAAGTTGGATATAATCATCTGTTTAACAGATTTATTCAAAATCTCAGATTTATTCAGAATATTTCGTTAATAATTTGTATCAATCTTTAAGGATATGAATCAGATTTTTCATGCTTTTTAATTAATTATACATTAATAGAATACATTACTTAAGTTGATTATTTTTAATAATTTTTTTACGTCTTCTATTAATTTATACTGAAATTTAATTCTTGCCGTCGAAAACAAAATATATAAAGAAATATTTGCGGTAACTGATTTATTAAATATTATTATTATTATTTTTATATTTTATTACAAAGATTATTTTCTTTTAAACTTTAAACGCCATTCATTAATTTACATCTAAAATTGAAAATGAAGTGTTTCTTATAATTTCGAGAGGGATATTGTATTATATAAATATTATTTACTAGCAGTATCATTTAGCAAAAAATAAATTGGGATACTAAATATTAGATATCTGTTCTATTATCTATTATGTTGTGTGATATATTATAGTATAGTTCTATTGTCTATTATCAAATGTTTTTAGTCTAATTTTGAACGTTATACCAATTTTTAAGACACAAGAATATAATGTTTTTTGTATTTTTATGTATTTAGGAATTTCAAATTTTTATTGAATAAAATACAACAAAAATCGCAAGATTAGTACTTGATTTTGAGAACATTTATATTGCTAAAGTGTATGAGAATGAGTAATAATTTATTAATAATAGCTTCTCGAATTGATAAATTTCTTTTGACAATGAAATATTTTGTTGGCATTATACGTGTAAGTATTTTAATAATAGCTTATGTTAGACTTCGTACAAAAATTATATGAAATATTATGAGTATAATTTTGCACTAAAGTATAATTTTTATACGTATAAAAAAATAAAAATATTTTGTATTTATTTTATAATTGGATTATAATATTTAACTGTACGAGAATTAATATTTTACAGTCATAATTAATATTTATTATATTATTATATTAATATATTATGTTAAGTTGTTAATATTTATTATATCAATTATTTTTTAATAAATATTGAATTACAATGAATTCAATGAAAATTTAAATCTCTTCTATGATCATGAAAGCAATATTTTATACTAGTATTAATAAGTTAATATTTCGTGCATAGATTATTTTCATTAATTGTTTTAGATATCGACGAGTGTCTTATATTATTAGAACCTTGCTCCGGAAGAAAAAAATTTTGTGTTAACACCCAAGGTAGTTTTAGTTGCTTAGAAATGAAAGGAATAAAATCTTGTCCCGCAGGATTTAAATTCAATAAATTGTCACAGCAATGCGAAGGTATATTTAAAATGTTAAGTTAAAAATGAACTACTTGAGAATTTATTTCTTTTAATAATGAAACCTTTCTATGATCGCGATTATGAAAAGACATTAATTTATTCTTTTTTCTTTTTCCAGATGTGAATGAATGTGCAGAAGGAATTCATAGCTGTTTCGAGGATACAGAGGAATGTCGTAATATTGAAGGTGCTTACGAGTGTGATGTAAAATGTGATAAAGGATTTACTTATAATGTTAATTTAGGTACCTGCATAGGTAACTATTTTATGTTTTATTGATGTGATTATTATTTAATCGAATGTACTTCATTTTTTTGATATGTTACATGAGAATGAACTATTACATTAATATCTACTACATTAATAATAAATTTTTCCTCTGATATGTTTAGCTGTTTATACAGGTATGTGCATGTATATAAACTTTTTCCATATCTTAATTTAATTAATCGTCTGAAAATAGTCTACTGTGAACACTAGTATGTGAATTCACGTTGACCCAGCATGTATTTTACTTGCATGTGAGTAAGAATTTTCTTCTCATCTTTTTAATAGTTTTCTTAATCTTTTGTTTAAATCCTGAATGAATTAAATAACTATTCTATAATTTTTTTTTTTAAATATTAACTACAAAAGTTATTTTTTATTAGTTTATATATATATATAATATAATTTTCATTATATTATATATATATAAAACTATTGCTCTTTTTTATTTATTTTACTTATATATATTATATTTGTAGATGTGGATGAATGCTTCGGGTCTAGTAATCCGTGTTTGAACCCAAATACCACTTGCAAAAATATAATAGGTGGTTATGAATGCTTACCTTCAAATCATTCTGACTATCTCTTAACTGATAAATTATTGACTTGTCCTGCGGGCTATAAGCCGATAAACAATTCTAAGGAGGCATGTGTCGATGTGGACGAATGTAAAGAACAATTGCATTCATGCGAAGAAAGTAAACAATGTATTAATGACATAGGTAGTTACAGGTAAGTTTATAATTAATAATGTTAATCATTGATATACATTCAATTTATTATACGTTATTTAATTAGATGCGAACCATTAAATCACGAAAATATCAATTTGCATGGAAAGATTAAAGGCACTCATGCTTATTCGTATAGAAAGGAACATAAATTAATAACGTCAATTTCTCCAGTTGTTAATCAAGCAACGACTTGCAAGGAAGGTTTCATATTCGATCAGCAAAGTTTAGATTGTATCGGTATAAGAATATTAAAATTTTATTTATTAATTTTAATTTTATTAACTATTGTTTATTTTTTCAACATGAATTTTTTCTATTGAGATAATTTATATTTCAATAAAGAATTAGTTTTATCTCTGTCATATATTAATCTGACTATTTTAAATTTTAATTCTTTAATTCTTCTGATAGATATCGATGAGTGTAATAATGGTTTATCAAATTGTGGAATCAGTGAACAATGTGTAAATTTCAAGGGTGGATACAGATGTTCTCCAATATGTCCGCCTGGTTTTCAGCTAAATAATAATAGTCACTCTTCAAATGAAGAATCCTGTCAAGATATAAATGAGTGTACACTTGGATTACATTTTTGTAATGTATCAACTCAGTTTTGTGTTAATACGAACGGTTCTTATACTTGTGAAATATTTACAACAACAACAAGTTCAACAACAATTAACAGACCATTAAGTATTAAGAAAAGTCATATAATGCAGGTATTAATATATTTATTATTTTTCTATTATAAACTAAAAATTCATTTCATAAATTTAATTAAATTTGAATACGTTATATTTATTCGTTTATTTTTAAATTTTCTTTTTGCAGTTTTTATACAACTTAAATTTTTTAACTAATATTTCTTTCACAGTTACAAATCTGAACGCTTAAAACGATTCTTATAATTTATTTTGTAGAATCATTATTTGTTTTTGGAGCCATGTGATCTCGGATATACTAGAGATATAAAAAATGGAGAATGCATAGATATTGATGAGTGTGCAACAGGATTAGTTTGTCGAGACTACGAACAATGTTATAATGTCCCAGGCAGTTTTAAGTGTTCACCACTTTGTACCACTGGCTGGTATTTTAATACTGCAATAAAAGGTTGTCAGGATGTTGATGAGTGTCTTTTAGGCAGTCATGATTGTCCACAAGATACTCATAAATGTGTTAACACGAATGGTTCCTTTTTGTGCGAGTTGATACCGCCTTGTAGCAACGGTTATAAGAGATCTTTCGATGACAGTTGCGTCGACATCGACGAGTGTTTAGAAAATCTGCACACTTGTCGATTAGAATTACATCAGTATTGTGTCAACAAAAACGGTAGCTTTGAATGTTTAACCAGATTACCTTCTTGTTCATCGGGTTACGAATACTCTCTAGCTACTAAACAATGCGAAGATATTGATGAATGTGCCCTCGCCCAACACAAATGTGATCTTAGACTTTCTGAAAAATGCTTCAATCTACCTGGAACTTACAGGTTTACATTGTTAATTTAATATTTTGTCATGAAAAATTGAAATTTTCCATTTCTTCCTTTATAGATAGTTCTATGTCAGATTAATCTATAACTTTTTACAATAAAGTAATAAAGCAAAAGGGAAGAAATTAAAATGTATTATAATTTACAATATATTTATTATTATTTTATATTATATGATTTCTTATTGGTAGCTTTTTTATTAATATAAATTAAAAAACATACATAAATACGTAAGGACTTTCTATTATAGATTTCTATTATAGATTTTCATGTTATTTATGATTTTTATATTTCATATTTTTTATATAATCAAAGAATTATTGAAACATACAATTTGAAATTTTTATATAGAACAAAGTTAATAAATCATATTCATACTGTAACGTGTTTAGATGCGAAAGACCTGTATCGTTTGAACAACGTCAACATCAAAAACCTGCTTGTCCTTCCGGTTTTAGATATCACCCCCGATTAAGGAAATGCACAGGTATATTTTAATATATGATAATTTTCAAATTTAATTTACTTATAATGGGAACTAAAGTATATATTTTTTAAAATATTTTCTC